GGCCCGGAGAGCGTTTCACCCGCCACGGGGGATGGGGCGCCGTCACAGCAGTTGCTGGTGGAGCAGAGCCACTCCTGAGTGGCTGCTGGGACTGGCCGGGTCCTGGTGCTGTGGTGTGACCTGCTCATCTCACTCGGAGACGTGTGATCCTGTTGCTCGGTGCCTGCTGGTGCCAGAGGGATTCCGCAGCTCCTGGCTGGCCCTCCTCCCCCTGTCTTGGTCGAGACTTGTTGCCCACTCTTCTCTCATCCTCACGAGGAGGTGAGGGGAGTCTCTTTTGAAATAGGGATGGAAGTAGAACTGTAACTGCGAGTCAAAGTTCAATAAAGAAAGGAAACTGCAAGTCACAAGGATGGACGGGCAACCACCAAGCACCTACGGCCCTGTGCAAGAGGAACTCTGCTGGCTCAGGAGGCCCTCTGGAAAACGTCCTAGTCCCCAAAAAAGCTGGGGACTCGTGTTCACATCGTCAAGGTTTACCAATTGTGACGGGCATTTCATCTGGGAAGAAGCTCAAATGGCAAATTAGGGTGTCCACGGCCAGCGAAAGGGTCTTCGAAGTTGCAGACCGGGAGGGAAGAAGATTCTGGGCCTCCCGCAGGCAATGTCAGTGGAAAACGAAGGCACCCCAGCTGGGCTGGAGTACCCGGGCACTGACTCTTCCACACAAGGGGGCCACCTACCAAGGGCGCAGGGAGCCTGGGCACCCTCTGTGACGGGCGCCCTTCAGCGCTTCAGCTGGGCACTTCTCCAGACACCAGCCAGGGGGATAGTGGTACAAATACCAGACTCCTGACGCCTGCTCACTTCACAGGGTAAAGTGCTGTGGGTCAGGGGAGCACAGCAACCACCAGATGACACGACTGGCCCCGGGTAGGGGGACATGCAGATATGGCTACTTAGCACCTGTGATATTTTATCCACTCGAGAGAGGGGTGGCACCATCCTCGGCCCTGCCCACATTCACTCTTGGGTCATGTCACCTCCCCCAGCAGGGGACACAGGACCACAGTGATGGCCCCACACACCCCGCCCGAGGTCACCCACTTCCCAGGAGGCAGTCCTGGGACTTCCACCCACACAGGCCCCAGAGCCCACCGACTTAGCCCCTCCAGAGGCTTGTGTTCATTACCTTGTTCAAGATGGAGAATGGCTGCTGTGCCGTGAAGATACCGGTGAGGGTCCTGAAAGTGCGTTGATGCAGTTTTCGGAAGACATACAAGTTCAGCTGGCGAACGAAGCTCCTTAGCAAGTCCGTGGCAAAAAATTTGTCCGGGATGTCCCTTTCGAGAATCTCGTTTGAAAGAGTTTTTGATGATCCCTAGACAAGTCCCACTGTCATGCCACCAGATGGAGAAACTGATTGCTGTTGACCAGTCTCCACAGTTCTGTGGAAAGGGGAGGGAGAGGAGATTTCTTCTCCCTGGGCGAGACGTCACCTCCGGGGCGTGGCCTTCTCAAGGAAGCCTCCTCGGCCAGAGACTGGAAAGCCATTTTCTTCCATCAGCATCCTCAAGTCAGGGCTCCCGGGGGGACACCGGGTAGTCCCAGGCTGGGGAAGGATCCGCTGAGTGATGGTAGATCTCCGAGGTCCAATCGGGGACGAAAAGGCACCCTTTCCGAGCTGTGTCCCTGTCCCCTCGGATTCCTTTCTTCGGAGTGAGCCATACTCAATGAAGACCTGTCCTCCATCTGGCAAACATGGTAGTGCAGTGTGGCCAGCGGCACCCCTTGGGAGTCAGGCAGCCAGCCCCAGGACATCACAAAGGGGCTCAGACTGCCTGGGGGTGACATCACCACATGCCCAGCAAGTACCTAATAAAGGGCCAAGGCAGACAAGTAGCTGCCCGTCTGCATGTGCAGATTTCTGTCCTCACAGTCATCTCAATGGGAAAGAGGACACCAGAGCACAGGAGTGTCGAGGGGCCCTGCCACACCTTATGTCAGGACCTGGAGCGGTCCCCCTTGTCCTAGAGCTCCTGGGGCCAGGCAGAACCACAGCAAAGCCCTGACTCAGGAAGGTCAGGAGCTCACCATGTGAGTCATGGACCACAGACCCCAGCACATGACTGACACGTTGAAGCACCAGAAACAAGGGTACGCCGGTGCCCATGGGCCCAGGCTGTAGCCACGCCGCCCTTTCCACCCTGTCCTAGCCAGAGGCAGCGATGTGCTCCATAAAGGTCCTCCGAACACACCCACACTGTCAGTCCCCAGGATGCAGATGGCCGATGGCCACTTAGGCAAATGGCTTAGCTGACTGTCCCACCACCCCACTTGCTGCCGCGCAAGTCCGGTAGGCAGCTGGAGGTGGACTTCTTCCTGCTTTTCCTCGGCCTGCACGTGTACTCCCACCAAGCAGAGACACCCTTCTACACCCCGGGTCTTTGTAGTCACATCGTGGCAGGGCATGTGGCTGTTGGCCTTCGAGCATGTGTCATTTTTCCTTGGCCAGTGTCTCCAGAGAATGCACATGGGTTTGTGCCCAGCGGTCCCCTCTGCAACAGTGGTTCCTTTGGGATGTGACACTAGGAGGTCACGAGAGAGGCGTCCATCCGAAGCAGCGTCTGTGTAAACCCACTGTTCCACACACACAGGGCCACCCCTCCACAGACTCCCTTCACTCGATTGTGGGCACAGAGCTCAGTGATCTTCCAGAGGACTGTCACTAACCGGTGATGCCTCCACACTTGAGACATCCTGACCCCAGGGCCCGACGCTCTGGCTCAGGGGATGACAGTGAGGGTTCTGCAGGCAGGACTGCCAATGCTGGTGTCTCGGCCTGGCCGCTGCCGAGCTGTGTGACTTGGGCATGTCATCACTAACCTCGCTCAGCCTCCATTTCCTCCCGGGGATAAGAGTAGTAGGCACCTGCTTCCCGGGGCTGTGAGGATCCTGTGGGCCGCATAGGAGCTAGCAAGGCACCCAGCAGTTGGATCGCAGCTACTGTTGTCACTTTCAATAGGCATTTTTCTGAATAGCAAGTCCGAAATCTCATGAGCCTACAGCAGAATCCACCTGTTGGCCTCTGGCTGCCTACAGGACTGAAAACCCTTCCGGCCTCAGCAACGGGTGGATTTCCTTGTCAGCTGCCACAAGTCCTGAGCTGAACTCCACTTGAGTTTCAGTTCGCGTAGAAGCCTAGAGTCAGAAATCGCAGAGCCTTTTGTTTGCAGTGTGAGCAGTCCTCAGCTGTTGACATGGACTGGGCAGCAAACAAACAAGGACCGGGAGCAGTATAAGGACAGTGTCTGCTGCAGACTGTCTCTTAGCACCCGAGGAACACTCCAGAAAGCCTCCTAAGTGGTAACAATTGTGGCACTGCATAGCCCCAGCCAAGAGTGGCAGCTCCGTGGCGTCCCCTCCTTCCTCCCTCCACCCCATATTCCCCTGAGAGCTGCGCACTGAAGGAGGACTCATTCTAAAGGCTGTGCCCCTGCAGTCGCCAGCCTCGCTCGGCTGCCTGTGCCAGATGGAGAGTTGCTTCCTCTGAGGACTGGCTGAGAGGACCATCCCAGTTTCCTGGGCCATCCAGCAAATAAGATACAGATCGTGCACGTGTAAAATGAGGAGCGGTTTATTGACAGCTTAAGAGAGCAAAAACTACTGGCTTTAGCTGCATTTTTTACACACTGAGCTGGAAGGGCTAAACCATCCCGTTCCCCCATACCCCAAAGAGAATAGGCTTGCTGGGACGCCAGTGCCAGGGGCGGAGTTGTTTGCAGCGGACTTGAATTCAGCCCCATGTAGGCCGGTGAGCAGTCGCCTGCACTGAACGCCACACTTCTTCTCCTGGGTGAGAAGATCAATGCTCTTTTTTAGCCTCTTCTCAGCGAACAACCTATTTGTTTTCAGGCAGGACGACGTTAAACTTGCAACCTCTGATGCATGGAGGAAGCTGCAGCGCTTGAAGAAACCTGCACGCACACGTGAAACCACCGTGCCTGCCTACCGCAAAGCCTTCTTCTCGCTGGCAGGAGGGAAGCTTGAGACTTCCCCACGCACAGACGTTACCCGCGTGGCCGTTTCTGCCCTCGGCAACATTCTCCAGCGCTCTGGCTTCAAGTCGCGCTTGTTGGGTTTTTCGGCTAGCCACTACTCTGAGAACGTCAGAAGCAGCATGGAGCATCTCCGGCTTGGCGTTGCTGTCCCTGGCAAGTAGCAGCTACTGCGTACCTGCATGAGTTCCAGGGCAGAAGTGGCAATGTCCTGTGGGAGTGTGGCACCCCGCTGGGGCGGGACGGGTTTGCCAAGGGCGTCCACTTTTGCAGCAGAAGGCATCTGCCCTGCAGCACAAGCTTGTAAAAAAGATACTCTAACAGAATGTGCTGTACAGAACTAGGGGTTAACACCGCATATCACGATGCTAACATATTTCTATAAATACTCTGCATACAGGCATGGAGTCACTCCCGTAAAAAGGGCTCATCGGTGAGGCTATGAAAAACTGCTCTCAGCATGCCCAAAGAGAAACTACTTCCCACAGTAGGAACAGAAGAAAGGACTGTGCGTGACTAAACTCGTGGTTGCGTCAGAGACATGGTTCCAGTTTCCTACTGACTACGCCAGCCCTGACCGACCGGGGAGTGCTGAGTGCACTGCGGGAGGAGCTCAGCCCTGTGGAGAAAGGCCATTTCTGAACAATGCTTTTCATTGGGATTTCAGCACCGTGTAAACAGACGTTCCTTCTGAGGGCCTGGTGAGCAGCCATTCCCCGGTGGGTGCCACGGGGAAGAGGAGCACCTGGAGCCCCTCCCAGACGGACGGAATCCCGCGCCTGTTCTCACACCCTACCCGGCGTCCACATCGGCTGGCACACGCCCCTGTCACCTGCCACTTCCGCATCCCGTCGTGGTGAGTGGCTGACAGGCGCTGGATGCAAACAAGGCATGAGATGGACGTACCTGGAGACCCAGCTCCAGTTCTGGTTTCTGCTTTGCGGGGTGAACGAGGGGGCAGAGGAAGGTGGAGAGACACATCTCAGTCCACTTAAGCTCTGTCCCCGGAAGTGGCATCTAATCCGGCATTTCGATATTTAATTTGGGAGGTGGGGAGCACGTACTTCCCAGGGCTCTGGGTAATGACCACCCTGGCCTTCTTTCGAAACATGGGAGCGATTTTAGGAGGCTCCGGAACTGGGGTCTCTTCGGTTTCTTCACTATCTTCATGGTGGAGATCGTACGAAATGTTTCCGTATTCTCGTAGAAATGGGAAGATTTCAAGCAGAAACTGACAGAAATCTTTGCGAATACCAAACCACCCTGAAAAATAAGAATGTTTTGTTTCACACACTAGGCTCAACTGACCTTCCCGTTACCTTTCTTTCCATAACAGGAAGTTTCACTCCCTAAGCAACGTTGTCACACACTTTATCCAGACGCCTGAGTCACGAAGCCCGAACAGGGCGTGAGTACCCGAAATGAAGGAGAAGAACAAACCCTAGCGCCGTAGTTCTCTGAGTGGGGCTCCCCGACCAGCAGGGACAGCGTCCCTGGTGCCTTGTTAGGGATGCCATTCTCGGGCCTCAGCCCAGACCGCTCTCTGGAAACTGTGAGTCGGGCTAGGGTGGGCTCCAGAGGTACCCCTTTTCCTGACCCTTTTGGGATTCTGCTGGGTGCCCAAGTTTGAGAACCACTGCTCCAGTGCGTCTCGAAACACCTGTGGTGCGTAGGCCCTGGTGTCTTCCACTAATCTTGTCCACCCAGGAAAAACTCATGGATGACAGTGCCATCCAAGCAAAGGGTTTCCGTCACCCTCTAGATTCCGCCAGGCTGGCAGTCATGCGTGGATCCTGGCAAGGAGGGGGCCTGAACTCATGGAGCCACCTTAAAGCCACTTGCCCGGTCCCACTCTTCGGTGCAGGCCCTCCCTGCTCCCGGGAGGGCAGAGGCACAAGCAGCAAGCATAGCCTGGGCTGCTGGGCTGCAGTGAGGCCCTGCCTCCAACCCCCACTGGCTTTTGGAAGGCCAGTGCTCTGGGCTTCCATGCCATGGAGCTCACAGCCTCACCAGGAAGGCACCCTCTGCAGAGATCATTTTGGAAGTGTCTGCCTCAGCAAGCAGGTGGAAGGGAAGAGAGAGCTAGCAAGGCACGAGAGACAAGACTCGGGTGATGGCAGCAAGGACACTGGGGAGGCAGAGGGGCCAACTCGGAGCTAGGCTGGATCCCAGGGTTTGGGTGGGAGATGTGGATTTCCCATCAAACCCTCACGGGCCTGGGAAGAATCTATCTTGATCCCTAGTTTGCAGAGGAGGGAATAGGCTCTCTGAGAGGTTGCCTGCCCTTGTCTGGTCCTACCTATTGGCAGCGTGCACTGCGAGAAAAAGTCCCGGTGCAGGCCAGTAGAACACCAGGGTGATGGCGTTGCCCTGCCCTCGGAAGGTCCCAGAACTTCCTCAGCCCTCGCTTCCCACACAAGCTTCTAATTTGGGACCCTAGGGACTCATCCCTTCCTAGAGGACCCGCTATCTCCCACCTACCCGCGGTCCCCACCCCAGACACACCCCAAGGACTTCTGAAAGGCTGAGTACATACAGTGGTTTCCTCCTTTCTGTCCAAATGTGGTTGCCATCAGCGTGATCAACGAGAGCCAAAGGGGATGAAAATCGGGATGCAGGAGAAGGCGTTGTGGCATCCAGTTTGTGAACCAGCAGAATCTAAAGAAAGAGACGCAGTCAAGGCCCTGTGGACGCCCAGCACCAAGAACCCACAGAGGAGGAAGCCAGACCTCATTAGGCAGCTCCCCTCCCCGACCCGCCTCGCAGGGCCCCACCGCAGTGAGCTGGTCAGAAGAGGGAATGTCAGCACCACAGGAAAAGGCAGAAAAGCACCTATCCTTGGGGAATGCTCTAAATGAGCAAAATTTTATGTCCCTCTTCAGAGCTCAGCAAAAGCGCATCCACTTGAAAAGCTCCCGATACCAGCAGTTTTTATGGCACAAGTCCTCCCGATGTTTGTTCTACGGAGTCAACAGCTCCCATTCTAGAATTCTCCACACGATCCAATACACAAATCCGACATCCACCTCTCCTTTCCAAAGTGGAAACTGGAGCCTTACAGAGGCAGCAATGGCTCAAAAGGTGCACTCTTCTCCCTGCCAGCCCCACGCGCTCTCCCAAGAGAAAGGAAGGATGTTCTCCTTTCCCTAAAGCTCCCTCCCAGAGATGGCCCTGTTCTCTCCCCATCCTGGAGTCGGCTCACTGTGAGCTCGAGGGGACAGAGGCTGCCCTTTCTAGGGGTGCGGATCCTGTCAGGGGAAGCGTGAGCTCCAGGGGCCGAACGAGGCTTCCGCGGAATGCTTACCTCAAACGTAAGAAGAGGCACCACGATGGTCATCCAGCTCAGGGCCATGGTTATGTGTGTTCCTGCGCTGCCTCGGCAATCACATCCATAGAGCGCAAGAACAAGACGGACCACACGATGTAGTAGAGGACCACCAGGCACAGAAAGGACATGAGAATCCACAGCGGGACCCACACAACCTGGGGGGAGGGCGAGAGAAGAAGTCTCTTTAGCACGCCCGTCCCGGCCTCTGATGGAAGGCATCTTTGGCACCTCTCCAGTTAAGACGGTCCCACCCGCAAGCTGAGGTAAGGGCCGTTCCCCCTCCCAGGCCTGCTGCCAGGACCACGCGGGACAGAAAAGGTATGGTGTGCCCACTGTAGGGCTTGCCGCCACCAGGGGACCACAAACGCTCAGTGGCTGACATCAGTCCCCCTTCCTTTGAGTGACAAGACAGTCCGGCATCTGGCTCCGCAGCCTCTGCTCTTCCAGAGGCTTGCCCTCCCACACTCACTCAGGCTCCCCCAGGCCCCGCTGGCATCACAGCTTCCCAGGGAACGGGACACCGCTGTCACCCTGTGCACACATACAAGATCTCACCCCAACAGACTCTCTTCACCGGCAACCTTCCCACAACTGCTGGGGGTACTTTGGCAACACAAACGGGAACGGGCCTCCCCAGAAAGTGTGGCTGCCTGGGCTCCTCAGGGCCCGTACCCTCACCCCTACCAAGTTTGGGTGGGGAACCTTGGCAGGTTGACGCTGGATACGTAACGCTGCCGGGTCCCCGCCTCCACGGCAAGGGCGCATTCCGAATATGTTGCTGGTCGTACCAGGTGGTAGGCCTTGTGTCATCCACACGCAGGCCCAGAAGATGAGTTCTGGGAGCGTCACTTGCCAGGTTCCCCTGTGACACGTCTCCGCCCTCCTGTCCAGGTCCCCTGGGATGACACTTCTCCCTTCTTCCTTCTTCTTTTATTAATTATCTAACATAAAGTAGGAGAAGTGACTGCCTTCCTTTGGTGTGGTGATCCCTGAGTCTTCACGCAAAGTGTAGATTCGCACAGCCACAGGCAGGATGCAGAGAGGTCTGTCACCCTGTAAAACTCTCTCATGCTGTCCCTTCCACTGTCACACCGTCCCACCCTTAGCCCGGCAACCAATGATCTGTTCTCCGTCACTGTCCTTTTTTCCTGCTGGAACTTTATGTAGATGGCATCGCAAGGCAAGTAGCCCGTTGAGACTGGCTTCCTGTCATTAAACATAATGTCTTCTGAGATTCATCCAACTTGTTCCCTGCATCCACAGGTGGACCCTCTCGTTGCTGAGTGGTATTCCACTGTACGCATGCCTACAGTTGGCTTATGCGACCGTCTGCTGAGGGTGGTTTCCGGCCCTTGGCTATCACTAACAAGGCCACTGCAAACACTAGAGTGTGGGTTTCTACCTGGCTGTGCCCTTTCACTTCTCTAGGGTAAATACCTAGGAATGGGGCAGCCGGCTCCCAGGGCGAGTGCACCTTTAATGCATCAGAAACTGCCAAACCATTTTCCACAGTGCCTGTACCGTTCTCCCTTCCCGCCAGTAATGTCGGAGTGTTCCAGCTCCTCTGCATCCTCCCGGGCACGTGGCTCTGTAGTCGCTGTTGAGTTTCGCCATTCGGAAGCCATGTGTTTTGGGCTCTCCTCCCGGTTGTAGTTTGCCTTCCCCAACGGGTAATGATGTTGCACATCTTTTCCTGTGTTTTCTCACCATGCTCATATCCCATTTGCAAATTGTCAAGTCTTTTGCCAATTTTTAAATTAGGTGGTTCCTTTTGCATTTTTGAGTTTTTAAGAGTTCTCTGTACGTTCTGGGTGCAAGTCAATGTTTCGATGTGTGCTTTGCAAATATTTTCTCCATCTGTTGTCTGTCTTCATTTCAGTTTGGAGGAAGTCCACATGTATACTTTCTCATATGGACCATATTATCAGTGCCATTTCTAAGACTCTTTGCCTAACTGCAAGTCCCAAAGATTGTGTCCTATTTTTTTCCTAAGAATTTTACATTTTCTTTTAGTTCTAGATTTGAGTTGGCATAGGAATTTTACTCCTCTTGACCAGCTTGCAGTTGCTGATTTTAGGCTTTGCTGCAGAGTCTATGCACAGCCTTTCTTCCCCCTTCCCCCTTCTGTGATGATATTCTCCTTTTTACTGAAGTTCCCTTCATGGGTTAAATGTTAGATCTCAATAGCCTTACTTGTTCTCTCTTGCTCACTATGGGAAAAATATACTCAGACTGCTTCATTCACTGGGACCTACACAGGATTAAGGGTAGAAAAAAATCTGTCTTCTCATTTGTGGAAAGCATTAAAAATTACTAATCATTTGACATTTTCTTATACTAAAAATTTGGTCTTTTTTGGATCTGTTTCCTCCATATAACAACAGAAACAGTTTTGAACCAAACGACATTTTTGATTATGAATGTTTTATCAAACACTTTGGGCAGAAGTGATTAATCTCATCTTTAAGTATGGAGTGTATTTAGCTTCCCTTCATTTCTTCTCTGCTCCCTATTTTTTACTATACTTTTTACTTTTTAAAGGTAACTATATTTAATACATAAAATATCTTGTATATAAAGTATACATCAAACAAAAAAAGAATTAAAACAGAAACAAAAACACTAGCATGACTTTACGTCCCAGTGGCAATGGAACTCTTCTGCCTTTGGTCTCAATCTTTTATTCCATGCATTTAATAGTGGAAACTATACTGTGTTATCTAATTTCTACCTTGCCATTTATCTTTCTATCTCTCCATCCATCTACCCATTTATTCACAGTTAATTTCAACCAAATGCCCAATAACTGAAGTCACAGTTTAGAAATATGACGTAGATGCCACCACCAGTAAGAGAGTAAATGGGCATGGCATTTTGTGTTTTGTTTTGCTGTTGTTTTCTTTTCTGAGACAGGGTCTCACTACATTGCACAGGCTGGCCTCAAACTCCTAAGCTCAAGTGATCCACTCACCTTGGCCTCCCAAAGTATAGCTTTTGCAAAAGCAAGTTGGCACTGCAGTATATGTATATAGGAATCTCAAACAGTTCCCAATCTCTAGCCCAGTAACACTACTTCTGGATTATTTCTTAATAAAACAACCAAAAAAAAAAGGCAAAGATTTTAATGCATAAACATGTATACTGCAGCATGATTTAAAATCATTCAACACTGGCAACAATGGAAATGTGGTATTTTAGAACTAAGAGGATGGTTTGATACACGCACCTTAAGAATATTCTGCATCAATTAAACTTTAGAATTATATTTATAAAGACCTTTTATTAACATTAAATGTTTATGATACAACATTAAAACAAAAAAATCAGGATACAAAATGATACACATAATTATATTCCAACTGTTTGTATAAACATGGACATAAAAAACACTAATCATGTTATCTCCACATGGTGGGATTATGGGTGATTATTAAGCTATTACTTCTGCTTGTCTGTCTTTTCCAAGCTTTCTACAGTGGGTATGAATTACTCTTATAATAAAAAAGAAGTTTAAGGATTTTAAAAGTTACATACAAGCCAGGGCCAGTGGATGATCTTGTCCAGTCTTAAGGCAATGAATATAAACTGGAGAATGTTGACAGAACACAGGATTTCTAACTAAAAATGAAGAGAAGAATCAGTTAAACAAAGTATAATTTGCATTTAATACTGCAATAATTTGATTAACACACTAAAAGACAATACACATTATAATACAGTGTAACTTGTATAATATGATGTTACAATGGAAACTCCTAATTTTTGGTGCCAGATGGGCACAGCAATACTAAAGCAAGGGGAACTATGGCTCCGCCTGCTGCCTTGTCCCTCTGCAGTCTTGCCCTTTCTGGCCCGAGGCCTGAGAACAGATGAGAACCTTGTTTCCAGATTCACTGGAAACACAGGCTGTGCCATAGACCACTAAGCTTCCTTCATGCCCCTTTCAACAATACTGTCTACTCAAAACCATCTTGTATATCCTTCTTCTCATACCTCAGATTTGCCCTTGAATTGCACCTCTTCCTTTCAGGCTCCTTGAGGACCCTGTCACATCCAGCCATCAATTATAGATTCTTTACTGTATGTTGAACCCGACCCATTCCATTGATCTCTTTTAGCAGCATAGAAACAAGTTAACTCCTTCTCATTAAAAACAAAAACCCCCAAACCAAATAAACCCACCCCTTCCTTTGATCCAAGACCCTTCTTAACCTCAGGTTTCTTTATGTGAGACAGTAATGAATATATAAGCCCCTACTATCTCATCTACCATTCCCAGCTTCCTCCATTGTGATCTGCCCTCCACCCCCAAGACCACCAGGAAATAGCTCTCATCAAAGTCACTAATAACCAGGAGGCAACAGAAACACTTTAACTGGCATCCTACTGCTATTGTGGATGACTCCTTCATGTTCGCTCTCCTCCTGGCCTTCTAGAATCCCACCATGCAGTCTTAAGAGCCCTCTGGAGTGCTCTGGTAATTCCTTCTGTCTCCTTTTCTCCCTCCTTAAATGGTGATGTTCCCCAGAGCCACGAACTCAGTCTTCTCTACCCCCTCAGGGAGACAGACACACAAACACACATACTTTCACTCACCCATTGTACCCTGGACTGAGGGAGAAGAAATTTCAACCAGACCCTTGGCTTGCATTACTTCCTTAGTGGTTAGTTCTCAGATCTGTCTCCAATTTAGCCTTCCTGCTGTGTAGCAGACACAGCTGTACATAGGCTACTTGGCTCTCCTATAGGCACCTCACATTTGAGGTGCCAGTCCCAAATAGAGATCATTATCCCCTGCACCTTAGAACCTTGTCTCTCCTCTTTCTGTAGCCTCCCATGTCATTTTGAGGCCCAACAGTGGTCTCATTTCTCAAGCCATGGGCCTGGGAATCACTCTCTATTCTTTTTCCCATGCTCTCAAGTTCTGTCACCACATCCAGTCCACTGTACCATCCAGACTCTCTTGAATCCCATGCCCACTTTCTATCTGATGACTGCCTAGTGACGTGTTCTTCCTCATCATCCCCCTATCACTTTAGCAACTTCCTTATTAACCTCTCACCTCCAGCCCAAATGCTCTGCAGGCTGCTCCTCACTCTAGTAAAACACATTCTGTCCACAGAATCTAAATCTAAGACCAGGCCCAGAGCTTCCCAAAAGTTTTCAGTACACAGGTACATAGGGAATTTCATAATTCCTCCATAAACCTGTAGGCCAAAAGAAATCCCTAATGTGGCTGGGAATGCCAACAGTTGCACTGATTTAAGTAATTATGTCAAACTTAGTATTTCTGTCCTAAGTAGCCATTTGAAAAAATAATTCACATAAAACTAAAGAAAAATGTTTATTTTAAATAACCAAAACTAATTCCCAGTTGGATGTGTGTGCCTATCAGGTGGCTCACCATTTCCCACACCTTGGAATCAAACAAGGCACTCCCACTCTTGTTGACTGTTCTTCACCTGAATTTTCACACGGCACTAGCCTTTTTTTTTTCCACAGCAACTGCCAAAAACCCAGCTTCTTAAAGATATGATGTCACTGAAAGGAATGTAGTGTGGCCTAAAAATAAACCTGTAAACCATTTCAAGCTTGGAGTTTGTATGATGTCTCAACAAATGTCAGGTATTAACTGTTTTCCTCAAAATGTTCACTATCCCCTGGTGCCCTATGAGTGCAGTGGGGTGCCTGGGGCACTTCAGCACAGGCTCTGTGGGCTGACGATGTGGCCCCTATTCGACCCAATCCCTCTGTAGAGGCTCCCTTTCTTCTCAACTCCCACAGTTCCTTCCTTTCCACCTTATGCTCCTGTCCTATCTGAACCGCCACAGTCCACTCAGCTAATGGAGTGTCTCCGGCCTCTAGGCTTCAGTATGTCCTCAAAATGCCATCCCTTCCCTCCCAACACAGGGCTCCTTGGAAGACTACCTTCCCCTATCTGTATGAGCCTACTCCAAACCACCCCCTCGCCAATATAGGTACTTGTTCTTGTGTAACAAGAAGAGAGAGCTCAGCTTCTGGTATGTGATTTCTTCTAAGGGTAGGAATGCCAAGAGTGTGAATATATGAAAGACTTACTTTCTATAATTCAGGCCCAATGCAGTCCTAGCCCTTGTATAGTTTTCCCTCGGTATCTGTGGGGGACTGGTTCCAGGAGTCCCCATAGATACCAAAATCCATGGATACTCAAGTCCCTGATATAAAATGGGAATTGCAGGGAGGGTGAAAGTGGACCATCAGATACTCTCTCTCCATAGCCCACTCCTACCTACCAGTCACACCCATGTTGTGGCCTTTTCACCAGCATGAGAATCAGGGAATAGCTATTCTCTGTTCAAGGCCAAACCCTTCCTGGTGCTCTGGGTCCCATTCTCCCTCTGAGTCCCATGGGGCCTTGTTCCATCATTGTCCCTCTGGTCTAGATACCTTTCCCCTATGCCCATACCTGGGGTCCGAGTTTGTATGCCTGACCCATAGCTGCTATGTTTACTTCCTAAGCCAACTGCAGCCTTCTTCCTTCACTCTTTGTCCACAGTTCTCCCCTCAACACATCAGGAGTCAGCTTTGGGCCCTCAGCTTTTGTGCACTTATGTAGTTATGTGCCTGGGCTTTAGAGTTGGGCTGACTGAAATGAAATCCTCGTCCTGCCCTTTCGCATGTAGCCATGAACAAATGACTTACCTTCTCTGTACTACCTCACAGGTTGTGAATACTGCATGTGAGGTGCCTCACACAATGCCTGGCACACAGTAAGTGCTCAATAAATGTTATCTGCAATTATTTTCATTACTAGTATTACTAGTCTTGGTATTTTATTCATCTGTATATCCCTTATGATTAGGGGAAAAAGGGTTGGCATATAGTAAATACTTGATAAATGTTTATTGAATAAATAAACAAACATCAGGATAAGCTAACCAGAGAGCAGGGGAGGTGCTAAATCATGGGGCCTGGGGTTGGGAGATGGTCAGTTTTGAGTGTCAAATGGCTGGGCTATAGTACCCAGATATTTAATCAAACACTAAGCTTGGTGTTGCAGTGAAGTTACTGACTTTGAATAAAAGAGATTACCCTCCATAGCATGGGGGAGGGCTCATGAAATCAGGTGAAGGCCTTAAAAGCAAAAACTGTGGTTTCCTGGAGATGAAGAAATTCTGTACCAGGATTGCAGCATCAACTCCTCCTGGGTCTCTAGCCTGTCCACCTGCTCTGCAGATTTCAGACTTGCCAGCCCCACAATAATGTGAGCCAGTTCCTTAACTCTCTTTATATGTATTATCTGTAACTAACCTATTAGTTCTGTTTCTGATTGACATAGGATGTGAAGCTGGGAGAAGGCCGATGTCTTGGGTGAAAAGCCAATGTTCTAAGTGAAGAAAGAAAAATGATTATTTCCCTTGTCTTTTGTTGACTTGTCTTATGACTTAGAGCTGTTAATGTTCAAGCTCTTCCTAACAAAGAGTAAGAAATTAACATCTGAATAACTGAGCAGAACATTTTACTTTTGAAAACATTTTTTTTTTTTTTGGAGACAGTTTCACTCTGTCACCCAGGCTGGAGTGCAATGGTACAATCTAGGTTCACTGCAACCTCCACCTCCTGCGTTCAAGTGATTCTCCCACCTTAGCCTCCTGAGAAGCCGGGATTATAGGCATGTGGCACCACGCCCAGCTAATTTTTGCATTATTAGGAGAGATGGGATTTCACCATGTTGGCCAGGCTGGTCTTGAACTCCTGACCTCAAGTGATCCGCCCGCCTTGGACTCCCAAAATGGAAAACATTCTTAAATATATGAAATCTCACCTCTAGTGACCTGTCATGTCGAAAGCCCCAAACGCAAGCTGCAACAGACACTGGGGAAACGAAGAACAGTGGCATGAAGACCAGGAGCCAGAAATGGCTTCCCCTCTCGATTCTGTCACAGACCAGAACTTCAAACATCAACAAGAGCAAGTGGATGCCCACTGCAATCAACATGGCTTTAAACTCCACACACGTTTCTCCTTCTGCTCTAAAAAGGGAGAGAAGAAGAAAACACCCTCAGTTCAGAATCTCCATTATAAGCAAGCAGTTCAGGGCAAATACCAACTTACGTTGATACTTTGAATTTTACTTCTAAATTTGACAAAAGCAAAGGGAAATCAGGTAGAAAGCTAACTTAAATGTAAGCTTTGATAGGCAATCTCTGAAACATTGAAGAACTACTACAGAGGTCAGAAAGGGATAACATGGGGAGAAATGCCAGATGTAGGTGACAGGGATGGAGGCAGCAAACCACATTGCCATGTGTGTACCTATGCAACAATCCTGCATGATCTGCACATGTACCCCAGAACCTAAAGTACAATAAAAAAAATCCTATACAATAAAACAAAATATGAATAACTTTAAAAAAATGAAGATTACAACAAAACCAGACGTTAATGTTTTAACTGTACAAGGATATTCTCAAAAGAAATAACCAGTTTTGATTTCCCTGACAATGTACGTAAAAACTTCTATTCACATCTTTAAATTCAACAAGAGTTACTTCCAAGATTTTTTTTTTGGGGGGGGGGGAGGAAGGCAGGAAGGAAGGGAATAAGGGCTTCCAAGATTATTCAAGCTGATTGCTTCTACTGCTAAAACCAGACAAATATCCATTAAGTCTCATGATCTTTATTTTTCAATGAATTAAAAACCACATAAACCACACTTCACACAATATTATAAAAATGACTAGTTCTATGAACAAATGTCAGTTATATTTAAACAATATATAGTAACTATTGTTAGGTGCTATTCTTAAATTTAAATAAAAAGTATAAATGATTTTTATTTTTCTTTCTATTCCATTAAGATAAATTAATACCTGCAGATGAAAGAGAAAGAAAAAGAAGAGTTAAAACTGTTCTCAAACAAAATCAGTTTAATTAGCTAAGTATCATGCGTAATAACCTAAACAGATCTACAATTGAGCAATGGTAAGGCCACCAATCAGGAAAAGGCTCTATAATGCATTTGAAAGGCCTACAATGTTTATTCAAAATACAGAGAAACATTTATGATACACATGTCTTGAGGGTGATAAATACACCAGAGGTTAGATCATAGAGAAAATGCTATCAAAGATTATTCCTAGGAATCAAGCGCGTTCCATGGGTTAATGTTAACACAAGAATGACTACGCCCATACATTCCTTACATCCAACACCACATAAATAATTCTTTCCTTGTTCAAAACATCTTAAATAAAACCAACAAAGAGAAGTTTGAGTATATTCCAAATATCAATTAGTAGAACCTAAATGTTTAACTTTTCATTCTTTGAGAAGCAAACATTAGATATCTGAAAATATCTCATAAAAAAGAAAGCAGGCCAGGTGCGGTGGCTCACGCCTGTAATCCCAGCATTTTGGGAGGCCAAGGTGGGTGGATCACAAGGTCAAGAGATCGAGACCATCCTGGTCAACAAAGTGAAACCCTGTCTCTACTAAAAACACAAAAAATTAGCTGGGCACGATGGCACGTGCCTGTAATCCCAGCTACTCGGGAGGCTGAGGCAGGAGAATTGCCTGAACCCAGGAGGCGGAGGTTGTGGTGAGCCAAGATCGCGCCATTGCACTCCAGCCTGGGTAACCAGAGCGAAAATTCGTCTCAAAAAAAAAAAAAAGAAAGCATATACAGCCACACAGGTCATCAATCTTTCAAAAAGAAAAATCTAAAAACTTTGAAACAGCTATACATGAATGTCTCCCACCTGCCAAAGCTCTCTGTGTAACTGTTTTACAGTTCTTAGATATGTATGTGATATGTAACTTACACAATCTGAATCTTAGAGTTAGTAAATAAGAATTTAAAGAGTTGAAGAAGTGGCTGGGCATGGTGGCTCATGCCTATAATCCCAGCACTTTGGGAGGCCAAGGCAGGTGGATCACCTGAAACCAGCCTGGCATGGTGAAACCCTAGCTCTACTAAAAATACAAAAAATTAGCTAGGAGTTGTGGCAGGTGCTTGTAATCCCAGCTACTCAGGAGGCTGAGGCAGGAGAATCACTTGAACCCAGGACGTGGAGGTTGCAGTGAGCCGAGATCGTGCCGTTGCACTCCAGCCTGGGCAAAAAGATCAAAACTCCATCCCCAAAAAAAAAAAAGTTGAGGTAGTTTCAACTTTACACTTTTCCCACATGAGCAGCTGCCTACTGGGAATTCCTGTACTCTTCATCTTCCTAGTGAAGGTTCATAATAGCCTCTCATTCTTAAATCCCCCTTTTTTCCTTTATGTAGTTACAGTCTCTGTGGCAGAGAAGGGAAAGCCTCTCACAGGTCCCAGAAACACCAGGCTGCATGCTGGAGTGAGCCAACTCCCAGGAATTTGGGTCAGCATCTAAGAGCAGGGAGGGCAAAAGTTGGATATGGTAAAGGGTACCCCTCTCCACTGCCCCCAAAGGCTCTGCTTTCCTTCTTAGCATCCAGCCCTCAACTTTCCTAATTTCCCAGCTGCTATCTCAGGGACTCATGGTCTCCTGGCTAAGCCACCTCCCCACACTGATAATAGTCCTCAAGCTCTGAGGCTAGGAGGGTGGCACAGGGGAGTCCCAGTTCCAAAATTGAGCTGGAGAAAGATCTTTCATGAGCAAACATAATATGAGTGTTTTCTCCTAAAAATGGTGGTTTCATGTTACTTAGTCTAGTATGGCATACCAGTTCCATATTCGGGGTGCATTTTGGATTATACAGGCATTTGTAAGCTGACTGGCAACTTAATTACCCTCAAATGGTACTGCTTTTGTAAGAAAATACATACCCAACACCAAAATTTCAAAAACACAGAAGAGATTTGTTAGCTTATACTATAGTTCTAACACTCCAGATAGGTAGAAAATAAAATGGTCCTTAATTCATCAAAAGTGAGAAAAGTCAAGATATTGCTCCCTCATGATAGTGACTAATGGGTTTTATAAAGCAGTATTACCGATATTGAGGATTTCGTGCCCAGACTCCAGTTCCAACTGAGGCTCCAACAATGACCATTAACTTCCACAGCCATATTGGAGCAAAGACAGCCCAGTAACTCCACTGTATGATGCCATCCAAACGAAGGGCCAGCAGCACAGAGAACAGCAGCAGACAGGCATAGATGAGGAATTTACTAGGAGAAAAGGAGAATCAGAGGATTCACTTTTACAAACATGTGATACTGAAATGGGGAGTAATAAGAGCAACATCTGTCAGCACGTAAAAGGAGTCACTAACTCAACAACCATGTATTGGAAAGGTCTATGGGGCAGACATAATGTGTTAGGAACAAAAGAAACATAAAGAAGACTAAAATAAGTCTCCTGCTTTCCAAGGCTTCCTCATAAAAGGAAGTCCACACAGAAACATATAATACAGCATGATGTTTGTGATGAGAGCTTGGAAGAGGAAATACAGATTGTGTCTGAGGTACTCAGAAGCAGAGAGGTGATGACCCTGGAGCTGGTTCCAGAGGGCAAGTAGGAAGCTGCCAGCGGGAAGTAAGATGAGGAAGTATTCCAGGCAGAAGGAACTAGCTATACCAAGACACAGAGACTGGAAAAGGCTGACATGCTCAGAATATGGTCAAGTTCCGTCACTGGCTGATTATATTTCTAAAAAGGGAGGCATCTGTCATATTCATATGGCATGAACATTTTAGTGCATGTATTATACTTTCCATAACTGAGTAAGTTACACATACACACATGCTCATCCCATATAAAAGGGAATTGCTACAGAGGATGTCCTTGAAATATTAACTGGAAATTACACTCTTGAGGACTTCTATTTCTAGCCTTGATATAATAATAGTAATATAATTTACCTTCCCACCTAAATAAGAAACTTGATACAGTCTACAAAAGAACAGTTTTCAGACATTGACAACAGGCAGTGGAGAACAGGTGAGAGGGAGGAAACAAAGGAATTAAATCCTACTATTGCCCCAGTTTGTAGACTAGAGGCAGTTTCCAGGTTGAAGCAAGACAGTAGTTAAAACTCAACCCTATCAATAATTATATTAAACATAATGGCCTAAATACCAATTGAAAGACAAAGATGATCAGATTGGATAAATAAGCAAGACAACTATATGCCATCTATAAGAATCCTACTTTATCTATCTATAAAGTCACAGAGAGATTAAAATCAAAAGGAAAAAGTTATACCAAATAAACACTAACCAAAAGAAAGAGATGGAATGACTATATTAATATTTGTTTAGTCTTCCATTGCTGCTGTAACAAATTACCACAAGCTTAGCAGTTTAAAACAATGTAAATTTATTATCTCACAGTTCTATATAACAGAAGGCCAGATGGGTTTGGTTGGTTTCTCTATTTGGAATCTCACAAGGCTGAAATCAAGGTGTCTGTTGGTGGAATGCTTATCAGGGGACTCTCGCAAAATCCACTTCTAAGCTCATTCATGTTGTTGGCAGAATCCAGTTTCTTGTGGTCGTAGGACTAGGGCACCTATTTCTCTGCTCGCTATCACCTGGCAGCTGTCCTTAGCTACTAGGGGCCTCTCTTGGGCCCTTGCAAATAATCCCCTCCAGGTGGGCCCAGTATAATCACACGAGCCCTTAAAATAAGAAAACAAAAGAGTTAAGTTGGAGAAATGTGGTGGAAGAGAGATGAGGCAGAAGTTAGAGAGATTCCAGACTTAAGAAGGATTCAGTCTGTCACTTCTGGCTTTGAACATGGAGGTAAGGAACCATGAGCCAAGGAATACAGGCAAGCTTTACAACGTGAGAATAACTCACAGCTGACAGCCAGCAAGGAAAAGGGGACCTCATCCCTACAACCCCAAGGAACTAAATTTTGACACAAGCCCAAATGAGCTTGAAAGCAGATTAATCCTTGGAGCCTCCAGAAAGCAATACAACACTCCTAACACTTTAATTTTGATCTTGTGAAATTAGGCAAAACACCCATTTGAGTCATGCTGTACCCAGACCTAAAGAACTGAGAGACAAGAAGCTTGAGTAGTTTTAATAATTTGTCATGATAACAACAGAAACTCATGCTAATAAATATATCTTCAAAGTACCCTTTGCCATGTAAAATAAGATATTCACAGATTTCAGGGCTTAGGGCCGGGATATCTGTGGGAGTGGGGCACTCTGCCTACCATACCATAAGGCACAGTATATTTTTGAACAAGGACTATTTCCAGGGACAAAAAGAATTAGTTCATAATGATAAAGGGGTCAATTTGTCAAGAAGATCTAACACTCATAAATGTTCATATATCTAATAAAAAAGTTTCACAATACATGTAGAAAATACTGATTAATCTAAAAGGAGAAATTAAAAAATTGAACTGTTATAAATGGAAATTAACATTCCTTTCTCAGTAACTAACAGAACATACACAGAAAATTACTAAGGATATATATGATTGTAGCAACACTATCAACCAACTTGACCTAATTAATATTAATGAGTTCCTCCCAGCACAAGCAAAATACAGATTCCTTTCAAACACACATGGAACATTTACCAGGACAGACTGAATTCTGGGCCATAAAACAAGGCTCAGCAAATTTAAAAGGACTGAAATCATACAAAGTAAATAAGCACAATGGAGTCAAAGTAGAAATCAGCAATAGAAAAATATCTAGAAAATTCTCAAAATATTTGAAAATTAAATGCCATACTGCTAAATAATCCATAGGTCAAAGACCATGAAGAAAATTTAAAAAATGTTTTGGACTAATCGAAAGCAAAAACACAGTATGCCAAAATTTGTGAGATACACTAAAGCATTACTTAAGGGAAATTATAGCATCCTATTACATTAGGAAAGATCTCAAGTTTCTAAGATTCTATCTTACAAAACTAGAAAGGGAAGAAAAATTTTAAAAAGCAAACAGAAGGAAGAAAATGATAAATATAAGCACATAAATCAATAAAATACAGTAAAAAGGCATTAGAGAAAAAAATCAATATAACTAAAAGCAGTTTCTTTGAGAAAATAAGAAAATTGGTAAATCTAGAGCCAGAGTAATCGGCAAAAAAAGTAGGCTCAAATTACCAATATCAAGAATGACAGCACGGATATCACCACAAATTCTAAAAATACTAAAGGGATAAGTACAGGATATTATAAACAACTTTATGCCAGTAAATTTCTTGAAACAAAGACAAGGAAACTGTAATTCTAGTTAAAACCTTTTTCACAAAGAAAATGTTGGCCCCGGTAAAATCTACCAAACATTTAAGGAGGAAATAGCACCAATTCTTCACAAACTCTTGCAAAAAAGATGAGGTGGGAACATTTCCCAATTTATTTTAGGAAGCCAGCATTACCCTGATACCAAACCCTGACCAAGAAAGAAAACTACAGACCAATATCTCTCATGAATAGAGACGCAGAAATCCTCAAAAGATTTTAGCCCATTGAATTCAGCAATATATAAGGATACTATATTAAGGCTAAATGTGGTTTTGCTAGGATTGCAAGATCACAATATCTTGGATTAAGATCTGAAAATCAGTTAACATCCTTCGTGGTATTAGTAGGCTGAAAAAGAAAAATCACATGATCATCTCGATAGCTGTGTAAAAAGCATTTGACATAATTTGCTACTTATTCAAGATAAAAGCTCTAAACAAATTAGGAATAGAGAAGCATCTATAAAAAACCTATAGTTATAATGCCTAATGGTGAGAGAAGCAATACTTTCTCCTTAAGACAGGAAACACAGCAAGTGTGTCCACTTCAACTTATCTATTCAACATTGTACTAAAGGTCCTAGCCACAACAATAACATAATAAAAAGAAATCAAAAGAATACAGTTTTGAAAGAAAGAAGTAAACCTGTCATTATTTACAAACAATATGATTTTCTGCGTAGGAAATCCTAATGAATTTACAAAAGAGCTAGTAGATCTAATAAGTGAATTTAATAAAATTAAAGTATACAAGATAAACATATGAAAGTTAATGCATTTCTATATAATTTGTCTAGGTATGACAAATTGAAAACAGAAATTTAAAAATATATATCATTTACTCCAACTTTCCTATACATTTAAAACTATTCAAAAATTAATAGTTTATGAAAAATCCATTTATAAATAACATCACAAATATAAAACATTTAGGGTAAATCTAACAACATTTATGCAAAACCTATATACTGAAACCTACCAAACACTGGTAGGACTGTGGGGAAGTTATAAATAACAGAAATTTATTCCTCACAGTTCCAAAGGCTGGAAGTTGGAGATCAGGATGACAGCATGGCTGGGTTCTAGGAAGGGTTGTCTTTTGGGTGGCAGATGGCAGACTTCTCATACCCTTCACACGGTGAAAGAGAGTGAGCTAGCTCTCTGTTCTTTTCTTATAAGGGCACTAGTTCCAATCATGAGGGCTCCACCCTCACAACCTAATCACCTCCCAATGCCCCGCCTCCAAATACCATCATATCGGGGATTAGAGTCAATTTGTGATTTTTGAGGGGATGCATTCAGTTCATAACTGCCAAGACAAATTAAAGATCGAAATAAGTGGAGAAATATACTGTGTTCATAGATTAGACCACTCAATACTGTTAAGATTTACATCCTCCATGTATTAGTTTCCTATGAGTGCTATAACAAGCTACCCCAAAATTGGTGACTTAAAATAGCATACATTTATTATCCTAAGGCCAGAGGTCCAAAAAGGGTTTCACTGGGCTAAAATCAAGATATCAGCAGTACTTACTCCTTCTGGAGATTTTAAGGGAGAATCTATCACTTGTTTTGTCCAGTTTCTAGAGCTGTATTTCCCTGGCTCATGGCCCCTTCCCCTGTCATCAAAACCAGCAGCATAAAATCTTCCAATCTCTCTCTGCTTCCATCAGACTGCCTTCTCCTCTTAATATTATCTCCCTCTTTTAAGACCTGTGATTGACTGCATTTATTGCCCACTTGAATAACCCCATCATCTCAAGATCTTTAACAGGTTCCATGGAAGTACATTTCTTTGAGGGCCATGATTTAGCCTATCAAACTCACCAAGTTAATCAAATTATTTTAAAGACTCAATCCAATCCCAATGAAAATTGGGAGCCAGCAGGTTCTTCTATAAAACAGACCCATACTTATAGAATCAGTTAATTTTCCACAAAGGTGCCAAGGC